GGTCCCCTGGCTGTGTATATAGTTGGCCAGCCGGCCGTTTGTTCTTCGTTCTTGTTGTGTGCCTAATAAAGCGTGCTATCCACTACGTCATTGTCTGTCGTCCATCCATGTGGCAACCCACTACATAATAAGAGTCCTTAAATTATATTCTGATTGGCAGCCCTTACTGAGAGCTGGAACAACCTTTCAGGAACAAGAAGCATCTGAACCAGACTCTTCCCTAAGTGGTTCCATGCAGCTGTATGACTCTGAAAACACCCATGAAGCTCTAAACGTGGTGGTGATTTGACTGGAAGAAGGATCTTCAAATGCTGAGGCCAGGAGCTGAACACTGAGTCCAGCCAGCTCGGTAAGGAAAATGCTTCGTGCGGCATAACCAAGCCATTTAAGCACCCCTTTGGTATGAAGAGATCAGAGACCTGGCAGGAATCCATGATTTTTACATCCCATTAACTTCGAGGAGCCTGCCTTGGTTTACGTAACCTCCTCAGGGCCATGTGCTGTTTGCAATTGCACTACAGAGGCAGGCTCCACCTTCTTCTTTTCCCCTCCCACCGAACGCACAGGCGAGAAAAAAGACGGGGGGGGGGAGGTTGAAGGATTTGATTTGGATAGCCCAGCCTCCTCCTGCTCCTCCTGGCTGGAGCTTTTGTTTTCCTCCTCGCTCTCTATTTTCCACACGTGATTCCCGTGTTGTTGCACTGAGCTCTTGGCGGGGCGAGGGCCACCTATAACTGCTGATAACTTTGACCAAGGAGAGAAGGGGGGGGGGCAAGAAAGGCAGGAGCAAGAGGAAGGAAGGGAGTGAGGAAGGAGGGGGAGTGCAAAGTCGGGCGCGCTATCCATGCAGGCAACCCAAAGGAAGGGGGGAAGCATGCCATGCAAGCCCAAACTGCCCGTCGCGCTGACGGGGTTGCCGCTGCCCCTTCGCCTCGCCGCCAGCTGCTAGCCCTCCGCCTACCACCGAGCTCCAGCCCAGGATCATCCTTGCCTGTTCCAAGGGCGGGGGTGAGAGAGAGGGCGCCCGAGAGACAATGGCGGCGGCGGCGGCTCCTGCTGCCGCCGCCGCCGCTACCAACAGCGGCGGCGGCGGCGGCGGCAGCCCTAGCAGCGCCGACAGCGGCGGATTCCACCAGCAGCTGGAGCCCTGCCTGAGGAAGCAGCCACCGCGCATGGACCCCCGGCGCAGGCAGGCAGCGCTCTCTTTCCTCACGAACATCTCGCTGGACGGGCGGCCGGTGCTGCAGGACGACGAAGGCAGCGGAGAAGAGCCTGGCGAGGCCGCAGCAGCAGCAGCAACCGCCGCCGCCAGAACTGCCCCGCTTTCTGCTGCAGCCTGCAACAACAGCAGCGGCAGCAGCGCTAGGACTCGCCAAGGCAGCCTGAGCGCTTTCCCGCCGCCCGCTCCATTGCAGCACGGGGGCTACCCCGGCACCTGCGGTGGCAGCGCCAGGCTCATGAGCCCCCTGGGAGTGGCTGGCGAGCAGCAGCTGCAAGGTAACGCCGGCGAGGAGGAGGAGGAGGAGGACGACGAAGACGCCTTTGCCAGCGTGCAGGTGCCAGTCGCCGCCGCCGCCGCCTTCCTGGGCTCCTCCGGGACCCCTGCTGCGGGCGGCGCCAGGGGTCGCCTCAACTCTTTCACTCAGGGAATCTTGCCCGTCTCCTTCACCAGGGCGGCCCCGCAGAACTATTGCTGCGTTGAGCAAGGCCAAGGGGGCGCGAGCACCTTCGAGATCCAAAGGCCTCGGTGAGTCAGGGGAGGGGAGGGAAGCGGGGGGGACCCTTGGTAGGGCTTTTGTTTTTATCCCAGGGAGCTCAGCGTGGTGGTGGTTCCGCCCCTCATTTTGGCCTCCCAACAACCACCCTGTGAGGTAGGTTAGTCTGAGGAGAAAAACGGATTCGCCCGAAGGCAGCCCGGAAAGCTTCGTGGTTGGTAGGGCTCCTTCCCCCTCGGCCATAAAATCCCTTTGAGGCTTCCGGCGGGATTTGAAAGAGAGGTATCCGGGCTTTTGATCTAAAGCTTTTGATCCCTGTGGTGTGGCTCTTTAGTCGTGAGGGGCGGCTGCTCTCCGCATGCTTGGAACAACCGGCCGCTTTATTAATGCTTCATACGCTCCTGGGCTGGGCCGAGTGGCATTGGAAACTCTTGCGGGACCTGAGCACTGGCTCCGGTTAACCCTCCCCCTGAAGAAATAAGCCCTTAATTTGTAAAGTAGGAAGTGCTTAGGTCCAGGAAGAGTTTCCAACGTCGCTCTCAGCGCTCCGAGGAGATTTAGTCCTAATCCCACATGTATGTGGGTCAGTTGGTTTAATTTAGTTCTTTATGGGAAAGGCACTAACCATGTGTTCATGGAGCACTGTATTTTGTGTTACTTCTTAAGAGATAGCAGGCCTGGGAGAGGCACATAGATGAACTGTAGTCAGCACTGGCTGTCATTACCCTCTGGGTAAAGAGTCTCAGAGGCCAGAAACCTCAAAATCTTGTAATGTGTGAGTAACCTGTTAACATCCTTTAACACTCCTTTACTACCATCCTGGTGATTAAAGGATTCATCTTTCCACAGATTCATTTTTCCACACTTCTTCACCCAAAGAGTGATTAACACATGGAATTCACTGCCACGGGAGGTGGTGGTGGCTACAAGCATGGACAGCTTCAAGAGGGAATTAGATAAGCATATGGAGCAGAAGTCCATCAGTGGGTATTAGCCAGAAGGTATAGATAGGAACTCTCAGACTGGGGCAAGTGATGCGCTGTATTCTTGGTGCTTGGGAGGGCTTCTAGTATTCTAGACCCATTGCTGGACCTCCTGATGGCACCTGGTATTTTTGGCCACTGTGTGACAGAGTGTTGGACTAGATGGGCCATTGGCCTGATCCAGCATTGGCTTCTCTTATGTTCACACCCTGACAACTGTGCACATAGATTAGTGAAGAAACTAATCTAATATGGAGATTGATTATTTTCACAATTAGGCATAGTTAAATCCTGCCAATTTAGCAGTTCAAAAGCAAAACATTGCAAGGAGATAAATAGGTACTGCTTCGGTGGGAAGGTAACAGCGTTCTGTGCGCCTCAGCGTCTAGTCATGCCGGCCACATGACCATGGAAACGTCTTTGGACAGCACTGGCTCTTCGACTTGGGTAACGGAGATGAGCACTGCATCCCTAGAGTCGGATTCAACTAGCTTTCAAGCAAGGGAAACCTTTACCTTAAATCAATTGACTTCAGTAGTTTGGTACACCTCTCTTTTCAAAGGGTCAGGTTATTCAGAATTTAATAGAGCCTTTTCCAGATTGCAGATATATAGGTGAAACATGGAGCAGGCAGAATGTGTCAGTCTGTGTACCACTTTGCTGGAGTGTTGGTAATATAAATTATGACCCCTGACTAGGCAGATGGCTGTAATCTCTCTATTCTGTACAACACTTACAGAATATTGGCAATATATAAATGTTTGTCGGGGATGCTGTAGGCTGACTCTGTATTGAGCAGGGTGTTGGACGAGATGGCCTCTGTGGCCCCTTACAATTCTATGATTTTATGATTCTACTAAGTGTGGACTTAAATCATGTGCCTGCTGGCTGGCACTGCCTGCCTCATTGACTTGGAAAATTGGTTTGATCAATTTCACTAGTTTTTACTACAACTTGACTTTTCTTCACATCTGTAAATATAAATGCCTTAAATGTTTAGAATTTGGGGGGCAAGATGCAAGGTGACAAAATGTGCACACACACATATATATGTTCTTTGGGTTCTCTGTCTGTATGTGTGTTCTTTGGGTTATAGGCAAATTCCTGTTATGGAATTTGGCAAGGCATGCTCCATGTTCCTGTGGAATTAGTTTATTTTTTTTCTCATGCTCTGAAACCCTGTCTTGGTGAACTCTTTTCCTTTTTTAATTTAAAAATACCATTCCTGTTTTTGTAAAATTAAATTCAGAATTAGACTTCTTTATGACAAGAGTTGCTACATCTACACCACTGTTTGCCTACTCTGTTCATGGAAATTGTTGTACTTTATGCTCACATACTTATGGTAATTAGACAAAGGATCTGCACAGGCTATCATTAGGACAAGTTCAGGGCCAGATCTTTGGGCTTGATCTGGAAAATCTATCATAGGATAGAAAACAGTAAGAGTCCAGAAGCACCTTAAAGACTAACAAAATTTGTGGTAGGGTATGAGCTTTTGTGAGCAGTGACTCACAAAAGCTCATACCCTACCACAAATTTTGTTAGTCTTTAAGGTGCTACTGGATTCTTTCTCTTTTCTGCTGCTACAGACAGACTAACATGGCTACTCATCTTGATCTAATATCCTAGAATGGTCTTGAAGATTACTAGGTAATACCCGATGTGCTAGTACCTTTTGTATGTCTGTTTTGAATTCTATATTGAAGTACCTTTACTTTGGAGATAGATCCAGAGGAGTTAGCCATAGTAAAAAGCCCAGTTGCACCTTTAAGACTATTTGTCAGTTGCACTTTGAAGCACTCTCCACCCTGTGGCTAGCCAAAGCATGAGCCTGAACAGTTTTTTTTTCAAGTGCTGTAAGATATGCCTGTTTGGATAGACCTTGGAATATTGAGCTGGGTTTTTCAGGTGGGAATACATATGCATGTTCTTTGAAATATATACATATTTTGGAAAATGTTTGTTCCTCAGCGAGATTAGCTTTTTCTTGTATACTGCTCAGTCTCTGAAAGTGGAGTTAAGGCTAAAACTAGGACAACTCCTCAACTATATATTTATTTATGTCTTACACTTATGTTCTATCACTTCCCCCATTCCTCATGAGGCAATATATAGTGTTTCCAGGAGGTTACTGGTTAGATTTATACTGCCTTGGCCAAGTTTTTGTGTCATGCACTTTCAGACCATACCCTGAAACACATAAAGCCATAACAAATTAGTTTGAGGACCCCATCTTTACTCCAATGAGGTTTTTTTTTTTAAAGCATGGTTTTAATGACAGATGAGCACCCTCCATATGGCTGCACTGCGTAGTAGATAGCTTAGAGAATCTCATTCTTTCTCACTTATTTTTCTGCTTTCATTTTTCAGTTTTGGTAAAGTGAAAATGATTTTTTGCATGTATTTTTTTTGAAAAACTTTCCCGGAGGATTATAGCAAACATAATGAGAAGCAAGTGGGCATCTCTGCAGTGGCCAGACGGCAGAACTGGTGGACTGCAATATAAAATAATGTGTGTTTCATTAGTCACTGGATATTCTTTGAATAGGACTTGTCCGAACTGTTCTTCTGAACGGAGGCACCACTCCCATCCACTGTGTTCTGCTGAGCTCCATTAATCTCTGTTTAATGGTTAGCTGTTACAGCATGTTTGTTTTACAACAGTACTCAATCCTGTTTTCCTGTTTTAAGATAAAAAATGCTGTCCTGTAGGCAGTGATTAATGTATTTAGGCTTTAAGTTACAATCCCACACAGATAGCTGTTATTCTATCACTGTTAATTTAAGCAAACTCTTTTCCCTAAGCACTTTCAACATGGTGAGGTCTTAGTAAAAAGGCTTAATAGGAAAGCCACTGTTTAGCTGCTGCATGACAGTTTGGGCATTACAGCTAAAATCATATGATTATGTTTGGATTATGGTAGTAGTCGGGCTGTTCAGGGTGAGTACTAGGAACAAGACTCTGGTGGGTTTATGGTCATGTATTTCTCTTGGCGCAGAGGCACATGAAGGCAAATATTGTTTTGTTTCTTGTTTTATGGTGTAAGATTGTGTACCTGTAGAGAAATGTCTATGTACACATGATTTTTTTTCAACTGTTTCTCAAATAGCATGGAGAGCTGTATTTATTGATGAAAATTTTCAGTGCTTCATTGCTTGTAGAGTTAAAAAAGAATAAGTGCCAAGGAAGCATAAAGACTAGCTAAATCTATCGTGGTAAGACCTGCAGTGGGCAAGGCAGGCACCGCAGCCTTGCCTCTTTCTTTATGCATAGGAAATGGGTGGCTGAAATATTCTTGAGAGTAAAACAAGTTGAGAGGTGAGAAGTGAAGCTGAAATGGACATCCTTACAACTGGAAATAAAACTTTGACTACTACACAACAGAAGAAAAACAGTGTGCAGGTCTGTGTTGTGTATTGATTAAAAGTGTAGGTTTGCAGCCAAGGAGACCTTGTTTAAATCCATACCATAACCATGATGCTCACTTGGTGACTTTAGACTAGTCACACCCTCAGCCAACCCTATCATAGGGTTGTTGTGAGAATGAAATGGAGAGAGGGGCCATGAAACCTACTGTGAGCACCATGGAGAAACAGTGGGAAAGCAATCTAGTAAATACAGGCAGGAACCCGCAAGGAATTCTGGGGTAAATATTATTTCCCTCTCCCACTGCTGCTTCTTTCCTTCCCTTGAAATTCCTTATAGCCTTTCCCCGTATCCTGCCTCCTTCTCTTTTTCCTGCCTACCAGCCAACGTACCTTTATCGCCCCATCTTCAGTTTTCCACCCTTCCCTACCCCTGGCACCCTCTATCCCAGGAAAAGTATAGGTGGGGCTCAGCGGGGCACCAGTGCCCATCTCCCCTTGAGTGGGCTGAGCCAGGTGCCACCATCTCTCCCATTTTTCCTTTTCCGCAGGTGTCTGGCAAGCTGGGCTCTGCTTGACCTGACTTGCCTCAGGCTGGCTGGGTGCTACCTCTCACCTTCTGAGGTACATGTAACAATAAACCAAACTAGCAGGTAAATCTGTGTGGCGAGAGCCTTGAT